TACCAACAACAAAACCAGCCCCTGCGTGCTCTATTCAGAAGGAGTAACACTGCAATAAAGTCAGGTAAAACATGACTTTTGGACAAGGTAATTTTGTTGAACGCTGTTGATAAGTCATAGTATCATCTTCCAAGCAGGGACAGCATTCTCCTTCCCATGGGGACCAGAACATCACCACAGGAAAAGTTAACCGAAGCAGAGTCTGCTTGGAAATTCATTAGAAAAATAGCCTTTTATAGCAATTTGCAGAAACCAAAACTTTGTTGAAACATCCTGATTTCAAGCAAGTTTTTATCGGAAAGGTTTCTTGGACCCAGGTGGAAATTTTTGATCAAAACCCAAGCAGGTGCCACCTGCCTGTCCCAGAAGGATCGGAACAGCCAAGCCATCGGGTAGGCACACTTGTTGCAGCAGCAAAGCGCAAACATACCAGCTGAACAGGTTTTCTGAAGTGCACCTTATCCCCTCAGTTTTAAGGATCTCCATTCTTTTCATCACGGGAAGTTTTCTTTTCCAAGGATGGGCAGGAACAGAAAAAGAAGGATGGAGACAGTGGGGAAAATACAAAAAAGGTAGCTAGCTCGGGTTTAAATTCATCTAAACTACTCCATTAAACCCACTGCCTTCTGTATGATGGCAAATATAGTTCAGCTCAGAAGTGAGACTTTATGTTAGACAAGCCTTAAATGAACTTTTGCAAATGTGAACATTTTTGTCCTCTTCTCACCTGCCCACAGCAGTAAATACTTCTGGCTTCACAGGTAAGGGGATGCAAAAAAATTAATTATGTAATTGATCATTAAATTAACTTCTTCATGTATGCAACCTGTGCAAAATCACCAAATCTATGATAATGTGGCATAAAATAGTTATAGGAAACTGTCTAGGATAAGCTGGAAAAATTTATTATACCTTATTACTGCTGTCACTCCAATAAGAGCTAACAACCTTCATACTCCCATCACACGTCAGTATTTTATGAACATGCTCTTTGAATTGGAGTTGGCCAGGCTTGCCAGAAAGATAGTCTCTCCTCACCAAATTGGTATGAACGGTGATTTCCAAAACTGAAACGAGTGCAAATGAGCAAATGTCAGTTAACATGTATCAGATATTTTCATTATATGTACTATTTAAATGGAGTATTTTATATCATGATCATTTGCTTGGTGAAGTAATAGAAGTGATTAACTTGTAGATCTCTGCTGATGCATACTTATCTTTTAAAGGGAATTTATTGTAAAAAAAATAAACATTGTCCATAAAAAGTTTGCAGATTCATTGTCTCCCCTTGAGCCACAACCACTTAATTACTGTTAGAGATCTTTAGATAAAAAACAGTATGAGCCTGCTTCATGACTCAACCTATTCCCATTTAGTTCAAAACCAACCCACACCCAAAGCATCACTGATAATTTTATCCTGGGAATAATCAGCGTTGATAATAGTGCTTGGGGCACGCTAAGACGTTTCTCTACTCTTGTTTAATTTACCTGTAAAAGCCCACACTCCCTTTAACAGCAGGCACAATGCACATGCAACCTAATAGTCACCATGTGAGACAGGAAAAAACATCTTCTAGGTGGAAAAGATCAGGTTCCTAATTCTAATGTTCTTGTGTACCTATAGACAAGTCACAGTCTAAACTTACATGTGCTGCACACTGGCTTCAGGTTTGGTATTTACGCACTAGTTTTAAGAGGCTTAATTTACTGCAGCTCGTAAGTTTTTCTTCTACACCTAGTAGAACAGGGAATAGAAACAGTATTATTCATAAAAACCCTACACACATACACATCCATACACGTGCATAGATACACAGCAACCGATCCACTGGGAATCTTGCTCCCATGATAGGAATCACACTGCCCTTTCATGCTGTGCTGCTCTTTACTGTCCACACTTGCTCCAGGAAAGCAAAGCAGTTTTTACCAAGCCATCATACTTTACCCACTCTTTGAAAGCTTCTCAAGGCCTGTGCATATTGCGTTGGCGCACTACCAAAACCCACTAACAAATGGCAGATTAAGTGGAAACACGGAAAAGAATTTCAAGCATGTATTGTACTTGCTTGGAGTTCAGCGCGCAACTTTAAGACGAGCGCTGCCCTCTGAACAGGCAGGCCTGGGGATTCAGTTGCAAAACAATTACAGATGCAAGGAAAATACCTTTCCTCTGAGAAAGAAACTTGGTGATATTCTGCAGTCTTCAGTAGGCTAAGTTCACTGTGTGCTCTGGAAGAGTTTGGCATGGTCTGTGCTTTCTCGAGACCTCAGTTTCTATCTCCAGCACTGTTCTCTGAGGGAGTTATATCATACTAACTAGAATTTTTCTTATGCCAGCCTCTTAAAGATGCAGGAGCAGAAGACTATAATCCTTTCCATTCACAATCAAAACAGTCCCTCTATACCTATCTGCTGTTCTGCCTTAAAATACGAGAATAATGAGGCACTCGATTCAGTTCCGCAGATCATCAGCAGTCATGATCAGCTGGACAATGAAATTCTAGTGGTGTGCCTGTATATAACTTAGTTACTTGTGTTTTCTTGATGAACTATGTTGGCTGCATGGCTACCTTTCTCATGGTTTAAAGGTCTGGTTTTAAAAAAGCTCTGTTTACAGGACCAAAGCAAATATACTCTGAATACAGTTTCCAAACCTGCCTAGCAATGGCCCAACCCCACTCTGAATGAATACGCCAGCAAAAATTACCATGAAACTCAGGTGGGCCCAGGTGAAACAATATTGAGCTTTAGCACAACAATTCTGCCCACATTATCTGAGATTTCCTTTTCTTTCTAAACCCAATCTGGAATGTTTGCATAGGGTACAGTAGAAGGAGATCTCCCACCCCTGATTACACGAAACTTGCTGCATACATTTTTTTATTTTTTTTTAAACTTGCTCACATTACTCTGTGCCTTCTGCACAACAGCACTCTGCCAGTCATCTCGAGAGATTAAAAGATCTCAGTCCACAATCCAACAAAACAGTTGAGAACATAGGACCAGTGGATGGGAAATATGTCCCATAAGCCAGGACTGATGTTCTCAAGCCCACGTGACGTAGCAGGAACATCCAGAAATCAGGAAAGGTGTATGGACAGCAATTCTCACATCAAAAAGTAGAACATTTCTGCACTCCAGTGTTCCTCAAAAAACTGTGGGTCTCACTGTTGGCTTCAGAGGAGCTCTTTTCTTACTGCATCAACTAAAATAAAAAGAAGATGGACTTGATTTATGACATTATACTCACTGGTTCAAATTCCTCCATAGTTTATCGACCTTAAAGTTAATAAAAAAAATGTGACTCTTTAATAGGTTATTTTCAGCTTTAACTAATCTGAGCTCATGACTGGCTTTGGAACTGCAACAATTCTATGAAAGCTAAGATTGATTATTACTGTCCAAAGTACAGAGTAATTAAGCCTACTGAAAAAAAAAAAAATAATAGAATTACTTCTATAACAAGTGGGGACAAAAGAAAACTTAAGGAAAATAAACAGCATTGAGGATATTAATACATCTGTCTTGTATCTGAATGTCCTTCCAAATAAGTAACTGAAACGACACTGAAAGTGCAACCCAAGTGTAGTACAAATACAAGAATGTCTGCATTGAAATTCCGTAACTTTTCTTTATTCACTGTGATACATTCAAACAAAAGTGCTCCAGATAACAGCCATAAAGTAAAGGAAATTAAAATAAGAAGGCAGAAAAAGACCATCAGATACATATGGTGATTATTCATATTTCAAAGCATTAGTAACTGCTTGTATCTGAGGGCACCAAAAGCCCAAATGAGGGTCCATGTTTTTGTACGCTGCACCTATAAAAATAATAATTGTAGGCCGCTCTAGCAAAAAACGTTTTTCAGAACTAGAGCCAAAGCCATCACAAAGATAAAGCACCATCAGGCATATGTTTACAAATGCCATAGTAATTAGTAGAGTGTAAGAAAGGCTTAGCTGAATTAACATTTTCCTTTATAGCACAGGGAAGCCCTGCTTAGATTCATTCCTTTCCAGCTCTGCGACTTCACACCAGGGACTTGCGTTTGCCCCACAACACCAAGTGCCATGGATAACTTGGTAAGGTTCAGGCAACAGTGAGAGATGGATGGAAGAGAAACTGGAACTGGTGCCAGTGTCTATCCTCCTATTGAAAAAAATAATATTGGCATGGCAGCATGTACTTAACCATGTTACTGCAATACAGAGGCACAATCCGCCCGAGAAACATTGTTTGTACAGACCATATTGACTTACCAATGCTGTTTGCTAGGCTACAAGTATTTGGCTGCACTGATTTTACCTATAAAAGACAGTTCTTGTTTCAAACTACAATTTTGCTATAGTAAAAATGTAAATCACTGTCATGTATAAGGGACAGCAGAGCATCACTTCATAGCAAACTCAGATTGCAGCCTATAATGTGGCTCTATTCCAGCTGCAGAATTACTGAACTGTGCATTTGCCAAGAATTATTTGTAACTCAACAATCTGATGGGGAGGAGGATTCCTACCCCAAATGACACAAGAAACAGGAGTCAAGATGCCGTACAAATTACACTGTCAAAGGGATATGACAGGGAGATGCTTATAAATCTAGGGCCCTTCTACCTAGTATATTTTTAGGTAGAACAGCATGGATCTTCAACAAAAAGAGGAAAAACTCAATAGAAATCCTTGTCCTGCTCTCCCCTTTACCTGCTTTGCAGGCTGCAATTCAGACAGCCAGCAAGACCCAGGACAGGCTTCTCCTCTGAAAACCTGAGTTGCTGACATGAGATTTTCCTTAAAAGATCAAAGTAAGGTCATAACAGAAAACAAGCCTCTGTCCTCATACGCTTTCTATAATAGTATATTCACAGAGATCCTGCTAGGTGTAAGGCTATGCCCCAGCTGCTGTAAAGGTTTAAGCCCATGTATGATTTGTTTCCCGAAGCAGAATGCAATGGCACTGCTCATATGACCAACATCACCTTCACAGTCAAGTCCTTGCACCATCAAGGTCCGTTTGCTCAAAAAGCATTTTTCTTAACTATGTTACTAATAAAGTCTCAAATCACTCAGGCCAAAAGAAGGTTAGAAGTGTTAAGTATTTACCCTTCATGCTATTTGTGTGGCATTCATCTCCCACAGCACATGCCTTGCCCTTTTCACACTCCCTTTCTCATGCAGGAACACAAAGCTGTAATGTTTGGGTTGCAAACACCATTAAATGCCCCTCTTCAGCCCCCAACAGCATAGAAATATTTTCTTAAAAGTTCAGATCAAAGCATTTCTACTAATCCTAGGATTTATTAAAACAAACATTGTAGGCATGAGATAGTCAACAGCGTCCCTTTTATAAGATTCTTTGGAGACAGTTCTGATTTCATACTGTTTACTGATCTGCCCCTAATTAATCTTCAGTTGCTCGGCTGCAAATTCAGCAAGTCCACCTGCTCCTTCCCCACCCAGCAGACATTCTTTTCTCCCCAGTTTCGATCTGCAATGACAGCACCACACAGCCCCTGTCCTGAGAACAAGGTGGCTTGCTTGAAAAGCTATATACCACATCCTGATGTTACAAGATCCTATCACATGCATTTGCAGCAGAAGTCTACCCTCTCCTCAGATGAGAAATTAAAACCAGTCATTAAGTGCTTTCAAGGAGTTTCATTGTCTTTAGCCTTCCCTGCAGTCAAGGTAGTTGCCTTTGATCCAGTAACAGATCTGTGCGTATTTGAGGGGTGTGATGCGAACAGCTACATTGAAATCCTGTGGGGTGCCATTCATGTCCACCCACTGATGGCCTGAAAATATTCCAATAATTTTACGCTCCCATTTGTGATTCTGCCTCTTCCACATCCTCACGTACACCCCAGATCCACTCGCACCTGGCTGGGCATCACACTGCTGGTACAACAGGTCATACGTTTCATCTTTGACATCACAGAAACGGTAAACCAAGTTTCCTGGACGATCATTGTCGTAGCCAGAGAAGTGAATCCTCCCTCCAGGCAATTGTCTTGCTGGTGGGCTCACACCTATCTTCATAAACTTTCTTTTATGAGGCTTCTTGAGCTCCAGCAGGGCATAGTCATAATCCATGCCAATGTCATTGGCATTGCCTTTGATCCATCCTTTGGGGACATGTGTCCGTTTCACTCGGATCCACTGGAATTTCATTTTCTCAGGCATTGCTGAGTTGGTGATATTGGCCCCTTTGCTGCCATCTTTCAGTTTGGGCTTTAGGAACCCCACTCGCAGTTTCTGAGCTCCTTTGACATAGCTCTTGCCATCATGAATGCAATGAGCAGCAGTAAGAACATGCTTTTCAGCCACTAGCGTCCCCGTGCAACCTGTAGATAGCTTCACCGATGTGGAGAACGGGTAATTCAACAAGAAGTCCTTCCCAAAAATGCTAAACCTGCTGTCATAGCCATAGATCTGCCTCTTAGTTCGAGATTTGCCTCGAGACCCATCACCGCTGTTGCTCAGAATATATATGCCCACTTCAGTTTCAGTGAGGCTACCATTAGCATACAAAGTTTCATAGGACAGGTAGTTCTTCACTTCTTCATAAGTTGGCAGCGGAGAACTTTTGTGGCATGTTGGGCCACAGGGAGATACCACTTCCAATCTGGCTTCAGCATCAAACTGTGGTTTGTCCAAGTTAAGGGTAGATTGTGGCAGGATAACTGGAACTCTGTAAGATGGCCAAGTTGGCTTCCAGTGAGAACTGGAGGGCATCACATCTTTAGCAGCACACAAAAGGAGGATTAAAGTGGACAAGCCTGCCATTCTGAATGCCGGTCTGTGGAAAGCAAAAGAAAGTCCAGTTACTCACCCAAACACGTTGCAAGATTAATCTACCTTGCTAGGTAACGGCTTGCTAACCAAGTCTATATAATAAGGGTCAAGCGATTTGAATGCAGCCAACTATCATTAAGTACTTCAGACTTCTGTGTTAAACTAATGCCTTCACCCGTATTTTGAAACAAGTCACAAGTCTCAGGTTAACACCGAAACAGAGGGCATTTAACTCTCAGCTGTGCTGAACCACCAACTCCCAGCTGACATCAGTGGAAACTTATGGTATTTGTCTTCACACAGTGTAACGAAAATTCAGACTCTGTATAAATTCCTGCATTCAGAAACCATAGCTCCTGCAAAGAGTAGATGTGTCTTACTTCAGATAGATTACAGCATTCTCTGAAATCTCCCACCTACTCTCTGACTCTACTGAGAGAGGTCCTGAAATCACCTCACACTGTTCGCTGTCGTAGCAAGTTGATGGTAGGAACAGGCGGGTGGACAAAGCAGGTAACCTGAACAGGAGCTGGGTTGCAGAACACGACCACACGGGAGACTCGCTTCCCCTTACAACTCATACCAGAGGAAGGTTTCTGCTCTGCATAGCATTCGCTCTCCCCTAGGTTTACATGAGACAGGGTGATGTGATTACACGAGGGCTGCTAATGAAGTAAGTTTACAATTCTTGAGGGAATTTTCAGTTAACATACTGGCTTATTCCTTTATAAACTCAATTAATTAGAAATGCAAACCAACCCCCTCTGAGCACAGGCAGACAAATGGGACTGTGAATGTGTTTATGAACCACAGGCAGAGTGCCTCAGACTGCAGAGAACAGCGTGCACTAGTCCTGTGTCAAGAAAATGTGTAACTTTAGTTTATTTGAAAATTAGCCATACAGCTGAATCGCTGCAGGAGGCACTGCGCCCTGGGCAAGAAGGCAGGCAGGATCTCCCTCATACAAAGATTATTCAAACAAAACTTCACAATTATGTTGAGCTTACACATATTTAAAACCCTGCTGAGGTTACACTGATCACAAGTGCAGGATCATTCCTGAAATACCTCAAACGAGTAAATCAAAGCAATTCATGCAGGAGATGACCACAGCTATCTAAGAATAAAAAAGAAAAATCCTTCTTCCAATGCTTTTTGTAGGAATACGCCATCCCTTAGCTGCACCGAAAAAGACTTCAGAAGCTACAAACTGCTAAAGTCCGAAGGTGTCCAACTCAAATGTTGGGCCTGGATTCTTCCGTTGTTGGTAGCATCCTCTTTGGGAATGGAGGCTATAATTAAGCACACGATGTTCAAAATATCAATTGAGTCATGCAGGAAATCAAAACATTTCCATTCCAAAAAACAGACACAGGTGGACAGAGCTGATACTACTGATGCCCACAGAGGCAGGTACTGACTCTTCCAGAAGGGATCAGACATTCTGTTCATAATTTTTACATTAACAAACAGGACATCTTTAAAGGGACGTATTTTTTTCTTGAAGGGCTAAGCTCTACAGAATGTGTTGTTTTATAGTTAACGAGTAAGTTAGGCTGGAAAATACAGACCATTTTAAACATCAAGCAGATCTGCATAATTTTGGATGTCCCAGAATTGGACAATACTTGCTTACTGAAACCATCACCTCCTCTGGCTCCTTCCATGGCAGAGATTAATATTGCAGCTAGCTGGGTTTTGTAAGCTATCAAATAATCATGTTGGTATAAGGATGTCTCAAGGAACACTTGCTGTATATCAAATAGACATGTTATATAACAGTGATTAGGAAAACATAGAAAAAGAAGGTAACAGGGACAAATGATTCCACTCTGTCCCCACAAAGACAATATACGCTAGCATAAGTCAACTGTTAACTGTCCTACTTGTGACAGTGAGGACTGTACACAGAAACGTTTACTGGTCTCCCAGTTAGAAGCTGAGAACAGACTAAATCACAGTTATGTTGTGCATCAGGTAGCAGATCCCATTATTAAGAGCACATATTTATAAGCAGTCTGCTCTCATCTGCTTTGCACTAAAGTTATTCCCACAAATTACATTTGAAGCTTTCCTGACAGATGGAATCTCTGTCTCAATTGCACCACTTGCGCCACTTCTTGGATCTAAAAATCATCCATGCTAACTGAGCCAGTGCTGGCCTTTGGTTGGTCTATTCAGCCGGCAGGGGAAAATTAGAAGGGTCTTGTCAGTTGTTATTTGCACAAGCAGCAAGATTTTCTTGTGTGTGTCAGTGCAGCAACCTGATGAAGGGACTGCATGCCCAACAGCTTCTCTGCTTCCTCCAAGAGCATCATCGGGGCTGAGAAATCACCTCTCTCTGCAACCTGCCCTCCCTCATCTCCCTACCATCAGCACTGCAGCAACGCCACTTTCCAAGGCAGTTTTAGACAGCAGAGGGCAGCCGCCCTATGAAGAGAACAAGACAGCAGCTGGGACTCAAGTTAGTCCCCAAAAAAAGGCTTCAGAAGATGGTATCTGTCTGTGCTGTGCTCTGTAAAGCGGTACTTACTCCATGTCTTTGAGCAAGCCTTCCCACACCCCTCCCCTGCTGCCTCTGTGCTATGATCGCATTGCAGATACATGGGGTAAAAAAGCCTTTTTGTCAATTACACAACTTTTCTATTATTTAAAATGTTATTAAAGCCTAACAATAAAATACAGTTGTGAGTTTATACCTGACCACAGAAGCTAAACAGTGGTCACAAACCAAAGACTTTACTGAAGTCTTCGTAATTATGTCTTATCTGGAGACACAGCTGGTGTTAAATCAGTTCTGGGCTGCAATAAATAGAATAAATGTCTTATAACAAGATGCCAAATTAGTGCATGGTACCTCTCTCTGTGTAGATCCTTCCTCTTTAAAAAATAAAATGGTTAAGCAGAAAAATGAAGGAATTTAACAAGTAGTCTAAATTTAAAGAGACACCTACCAGTTAGCCTCTTCTTTCCTTTTCCCTCTCTCTTTTCCTATCTGTTTAAAACAAAACGCTGCAAAAACCAGGGTTAACACTTCTATGTTCAGCTACTTACTCGTGGATGACCCTGAAAGATGTTCCTAAATCGAACTGGTAAGAAGCAAGTACTTCCGTGAATGGCTATCACAATACGATTCTGAATGAATTACAATGTGCTGCTCTACTGTAGTACTGTTCTTCTGTTTCTATTTAAACTGTGTCATAAACTCAATCCACCCTTTGACTCAGTACAAAGCCCTGCTCTGATACCCAGCCTAGGAACCCCCTAGAAAGCGGTTTGTACATAATCACACTTGCTAATGGCATTAAAATTGTTTAGAGAATGGAAACAGTGACAGCTACCCCGGGGCTCCCTGCGCTGCTAAAACACTTTACAGACACATTTCCCTGCCTGCTATGGGCATTCACGCCTTGAGATGGATGTTGGTGAAAGAGAACTGCCTTGTTCAGGACAGACATGAATCATTTTCTAATAAGCAAGTAATTTTTCTGGAAGAGTTCACTACTTCAGGGGTGGTTCTTGTAATAGATGGTTAAATAACAATAAATCTTGGAACATCCAGTATGAAAGCCCGTGAACCAAACAGTCTCCATTACATTTTGAAAGGAAGAAAGTTTTTCCACAGTGCTGGAAGCAAGAATGATTAACACGGCAAAAAAAAATGAAGAAAGAAAACCAAGACTGTAAGAGAGAAAAACCTGCCTCAAACCAAATTATAAAGGTGAACAAAGGTGAACTAAATCACTGTCACTGCCATGCCAAAATACCTCTGCTGCTTTTCTTAGTCACAGAACTTGTTAAAACACAGCAAAAATAACTGAGTCGCACTTTAAGAATTACAGAAGCCTTACTGCCATTAAAATCTAACATCTCTATTAGCCTGCCTGCGATGCTGAGGGCAGTGTGGCAGTTACACTGCCTTACCCGCTAGACTGAGGGCTCTAAGAAGAGATGTCTCGGAAAACCTGAAACGAACTTCGATACTGGCAGGCCAAGGGTATCTGTTAACATACACAAGGGGCACAGCAGGTATTTTGACATGTGTGTCAGCGACACATGCACACATACACATGCAGAGAAATGGGATCATATTATGTGATTACCGCTTAGTCCAATTCCTATAGAATAATCGTACTGCCTCCTTTCACCCTCT